TCCCCTTCCTGATCCACTACTAAGAGGATATTTGCCTCTTATTCTGTTCAATTTTTCCTGATTGAAAATGGTAATACGGATGCACTGGTAGTGCGGATATTAAAAGCTGCGATATTTCGATAATCAGATAGCAGCAGTTTTAAATGTTGATCTCAGTTGTGCATAACAAGAATGTTATGTTTTGCTCTGCTAAAGTAATTTTCTTTTGTCCCAGGTGAAAAAACAGAAGTTGACAAGTCCACTGACAAAGACAGCGACGCAAAAAAGCCAGAAAAGGACTCGGCCAACCTTTAGAAAAGTTTCAAAATTCCAAGGCTGCGAGTTATGGTGCATGAATATTAAGGGAGGGCAGTGTAGTTGTTCCGAGTACAAATGATGTTTCATGATACTTAGCGGAAAACTTAGATTTATGCGTTGAATAATAGTATTGCTTTAAATCAACGAGTATAGTAACCTGCGATCAGGCTTTAAAAAAAGAACGCGGCTTCCCAATATGGTAGTCAAGTTAAAAAAAAAATGCTGGAGCCAAACTATGACAGGCCGCTGCCTATAATCAGCGGACAGCACTGCATAACGGCCAGGAGTTTTCGTCTGGTCCGTGCACCATTCCGTTGTTTGCCATTTGCAAATAATTTCCAGAAGTTTGGGTTGGGAAATTCCGTTGCGGAGCAATGTGTTAGATTTAAAGTTTCCCTGAAGATGTGGTTAAGGCGTGAAGCCGCGAAAACCGAAACACCTGGAACTATCTTATTACATGAAATTTTCGCGACACGTTAATTTCGCGATGTAAAAAAGGCGCGAAATTAAAGTGACGCGAACAAACAGTGTCGCTAACATAACATGACGCGAAAGTTAAGCGACTCACATAATCAAGTACAGATGAAATTTAATACTGAATTAAATTTACAACAACAACTAAAAACTATTTGATTAAGGAAAGGCTATGTCCAAGACACTCGATATGCGAGGACAAATAATTTGCCGTGTAGTGTAAGCGCTATTTTACAATTTTTGTGGTGATAATCACTGTTTTGGTGATAGGCAAACTATTTTTATCGCACTAACAATTTTTTGTTTACACTATATGTTTGTGGCGTATCTGCAGAGTCGCCAATTAGATCAATACAATATGCGTCAGTGTACTGACCACTAAATTTTATTGACTGACAATTTGTTTTATTAAAATTATAATGTTGAAGAAATTGAATCAAAGTGTGTGCACTGTTAAATTAATGATACCTACCCTCTAGGTACAGAAGGTACTATCAGCGGTCTTCGTACCTAGCCTGCAAGCAGGCGAGAGGAGCCGGCGCGCTTCGCGCGCACGTCGTTCTTGAACTCGCTCGCGTACCAAAGCAAAAAGTCAGAAACCCGAGTGCGTGCTTACAGGCTACCTCGTACCCAAAAGTCCACGCTTCCGTCCACGCTACCCTTGACAAACTATCGTAAAAATCGTTGCCTACTCCGCTGGGTAAGAGTAACGCAGTCTCTGGCTACGAGGAAGCCAGATTGAAGTACCATCGCAAACAATAGGGACTTGATAACTCATTTTCTAAACGAGAGCAATTTCGATGTTTAGGAATGTCTTTTCCATTGAGGCCGCTGTGATATTATGAATGTTTTTTTCATTTATCGTTATACAAGCGCTGAATGTCGCATCATTTTTCCCAAGTGGGTCTCCCGACTCTTCATCAGTCGAGAACTGAGCGAAACGAGCCGCAATTCATTCCATGCCCAAGCACTTGAAACTGTTGTTACTATTTATCGGAAATTGAAGCCCATAAAAGCTGTTTTACTATTGAGGATATTGTCTTTGATTAATCAAACGTTACGTCTTCCTGTTTAACAAACGATGGGGTTGGTTCCGTTTTGAAATGTCGAGCATCAAGAACGTCCTGGGACGAGCGTGATACCGTAGACCACGAGACAGGTTTTTGAGGTTGAGTCACCTGCAGCGGGTTATTGGTAACCAGGGACTGAGAAAGGCAGAAAAGCATGTTTAAACAATCCACCAACCTGAACAGACCAGTGAAAAAATGCTTGCAGTGATTGCTCACTGTAACAAATTTGCTTAATGTTGAAGGGTTACTGTATACTAGAAATCATATTATAAGCCGGCGCGGTGCTTGTTTTATATAATCACCTCTCGGCGCCCAATAACAGCAGCGTGAAACAGCTCCTATGGAGTCCTAATGATGGCTATGGTAAGGTTGACATTTTTTAACTTGAGATAATTGTTTCAATTCAATAGAGGACGACCCTAGAAAACATGCTCGCCAAGACGGATTTTCAATCAAAAACTGCTGTTTCGAGACGAGAGTATTCCAATTTTCTTCACTTTCCCAGTTCGCTAATTTTCAAGAATTGTGCCAAAAAGGAAGAAGTTTACCTGGTCATTTCGACTTGTTTCCGTTTGCAAACGGTTTCCCAAAACCTCCTAAAATCAATTTGATCAAAATCGCACGAACTTCGACTGTAGTTTCGCTCTAGACAATAAGTAAAAATTAGAGTCTTTTTGCGGTAAATTCGGTTCGGCTGCAAAGCTTCATTGTTTGTTACTAATAGCTTCCTACACTGCAACAACAGTATACTGAATTATTTTGCTTGAACAACTTGCGTGTAAAATGTTCTCATGTTAACTTTCACTTCAGCTTTATCTGTAATGATCCAGATTTGTTCACTTCATTTCATGTATATGCAATTTGTAACAAGACCTTGCAATTTCAAAACTGTTGTGAAAAAACTAGCACATGTTTTGTTTTAGCAACCTTCGCATTAAGCCGGATTAGGATTTGAGAATCACAAATTATAGATTTAACGCCTTCCGGTGGTGTCAACAACGTAACACTTTCTACCTTTAGGTAAACGTTAAGAAAAGAGAACAAATTATAAAGCGCGCGCTTGGGAATGTGGCACTATTGTTACGAAACTGCTTTTGTATTTCAGGTGCACCAAGATTGACTCCGTTGGACAAAAATTTGTTTTGTCTAAAAATATTGCAACGTATTAGCAAAACCACTTCAACTGTGCTTCTAGTATGAACGTAAGAAGATGGAGGTGAGAAACTAGAGTTTATAGCTTTTATATTTGTATTGTACAGAATTGTTTCAACAGTTTCACAATATAGAAACCTAAAGCCGACTATCAGCCAAATCAAGACTTATTTTGTTTTTATGACAAAAATTTCGCCATGATAGTCACTGCCAAAGTAAATTAATGTTAGCAATACTTCAATTTGTTGGTCTTCACCAACGCGGACATACAAAATTACATAAGGACGCCAGAGCAAATGAGGAGATCGGATTGCAGGTAGTACGTGCCATTGGAGAAAACACGGCAAAGGAATATGCATAAAATTGAGATGTATAGCATGGTAAGGTGCTCATTTGAAAGAAAAAAAAATTCTGTGCTGAAGTTAAGTGACTTGTATTACTCAGAACAAAAATAGCAATTAAACAACGGTATGGTTTTTGAAGTTGGAAGTTTTAGAGGATTTTGTGGGCAAATTTTGTCAAATCCTTTTTGGCTTCTGTTGTTGTTGTTTTTGTACAGAGACAATCACTATGTAAAATCTGATCACTCACACCCCTACAATCAGTTCAATAACACAACTGAGTCCAAAACTGTTTCTTTCGAATCAGTTGGCATTTTTTAGTTGTTTCACCTGTTGTTCCTACTGTTAAGATATAAAAAATAAATAAATAAATAAATAACTTAATGAAGCAATGTTGTGCTAATTGAGAACACTGTTAATAGACTAATTACACAAATACTGTAAATACAACATAAATTATTAAGAATCCCAACTACTGAAAGGTTGACCAGTTGACTATTTACACAATGCGGTCGCAGAGTTGAACTCGGGGCTACCGAGAAATCAGTTCATTTAGCGGTAGGGTGGACGATTTGAACCAGGGACATCCAGATTTCAAATACAGCTTCCTAAACCACGCCTTGACCACGCCATCCCTGGCTGAAAACACCATTAAACGTCCAGATGAGAATTCCATAAACACAGGCAAAGATTCTGAAACTCACAATCAACTCTTTATTCACACTGCTTTCTTTGCTCTGATTAACTCCCTTGCAGTCTAACAGACTAGACGGCGACATCGGAGCCGAGCAATCTGCTTCCACGTCAGACTGTCCAATTAGAGACCGTCAAGAATCTTTCCATCAGAAAAGCGGAACAGAGTTTGTTGATAATGTGCAGTTACATTGTAAGAGTATTACGGAAAGAATGCGACTTATAAAACAGTCTGTTGATGGTATTGGTGAAGGTAAAGATTCGCTGGATTCAAGTGATCACAATCAAGGCTCTACTCTTGAATCAACAAGTGATGAACATGCCGCGGAGAAGTTTTCGGAGTTGGATCCGCAAGAACAAGGTCAAAAGATAAAGGAGCGAGTTGAACGGATAGTGAAACTCGTACAATCTACTGCACAAAAAGTAAGTTGGTGAATATGGTCAGGTAGACTTTGAATTTATTCGTTTTCTACATGCGAGCCAAGTGGGCCATCAGGCCGGCGCTTATATCTTCGGTTTCGGTGGCACGAAGCGACTAGGAGCATTTCTACTCTCCCCTGGATGGGATGCTAATCCATCGCAGGGTTACCCCCAGCATTAAATTCGCTGATACCCCTTTATACACGAGGGACGAGAGAGGCCCTGTGATCCGGAGAGTACCGTGTCTTGCCCGAGAACACAACACAATAGGGAGCTTAAGAAACCACGACGGCGACGCCAAGGACAACGCCGATGAAGAATTGAGTTTATGTTTTACCTACTACTCTCGCGGTACCCAAGTCATTTACTTTGTCTATCACTAGCAAAGCTATCCGAAACTGAATCTAGGACACATCGATAAATTCGAAATATAAATTTAGAAAATTAGCCGTCGTGGTTCACGTTCTCCAGACAACGCAGAATTTGGCCATTTCACGTTGTTGTTTTGCAGAGGACGGCAAAGAAATGTATCAGGAATTATAACGGCACGTGCACAGCCATTCTTCTCATTAAA